GGCTCTAAAGGTTTAACTCTAAATTATTTACAAGTTATATAAGTTACATATTAAAAACTATTGATAAGGTCGGACTTAGTAATAAAGGTTATTATTTGTCTTATGTTGTCTGGGTAGAGGGCTTCTGACAGGATGTTTGAGATGCCTGCTTCCCGTCTATCCGTTTCGTATGAGAGGCATTCAGTTATGTTTTATTTCTTATTCTAAAGTAGAATATTTTCGAACTATTTCGACGTACAATATTTTTAAAGTTTTGAGTGGAGTGGCAAAAGGGTAGTCTAGAGAATGTGCGTTCAAAATTCTTGTCTAAAATTTGATTTTTATAAACTAAAAAACTCCAAATAATATTCAGTCTGCTTCGGAATATGAAATTAAAAATGTGCATTGTCATTCAAAAGATTYCTAAACAACTTACAAAAATGTTCTTTTTTTTCTACAAATACTTTCTATAATATGAAATATTCTCAAAAACGTTAACCCTTGAAAATTGTCTTGTCTTTGGTCAAAGTAATCCGGAAAAATTTTAACAGCGAACGTCATCCTTGGCACAGTGCTTTCTAAGAAATAACGTTTCGATTTTTGTTGTTGTTGCGTTGTGTGCAATTTATAATATTATTGTTTTCGATCGTGTTCAAAATCAAGATTGGACTTGATATTTTTACACGTTTAATGATCTAGGGAGTGCACGTTCAGTTCATATTATGTCAATGCAAAAATGTTGTAAATTCGTTTGATCTACTAGAGGTTTAGTCACCTCGATAATCGTCGCCTGGTACACATCGGTACTCGAAACACTTCAGATCGCTCGGTAGAACGACAAAAAATTGAAATGTATAGTCATACCGATTGACGGTGGTGCCATCACAACAATATGCTTATCGATGAAATTATTGTATGTAGTATGATTTTGCACGTCACCGAATTTATAGCGTCCAATCAAATGAAACGATACCRCCTAGCATTGCCTTATTGTACGTGTACGTATACAAAAGTTAGTTAAAAATTTACAAACAACGTTAAACATTGTATTTGTGTAACACGGCGCTTTGTATATGCAATAATGATACAACACGCATACAAATAGAATAGRTTATTATTATATTTATAATTATAATTAAAATCCAAATGTAAAATAGCTTCATGATACATGTTAACTGAACCTTTGGAATTTTAAAACCAATGAGTATACTCAATGCATAGGTATATAAGTCTAAGTACTAATTATTTCTATCAATTTATAATAGGCGACGGAAGTGTATTCGTTTTTTCGCTAAAACGAAAAACACTTGATTTTCATATCCACCTGACCAATTTTCTTTCAAATTATTTTCATTTGTGATATGAGAACCAACTGTCATGATTTTGGTTATATTATGTTATTATTRTTTCATGATTTCGTAAAAATTGTGTTTCCAAAAATAGTTCGTGTCCATTCACAGTGTGGTCCAATTTGTGTGATTGTTTATGCAAAAAAAAAATTAAATCAAAGAATTGTGAATCATTCCA